TTGTTTTTGAAGAGCTTTGTTTACTTCAGTTCATTATGGTGTTTTTCTGTGAACACACAAAGTTTATCTCTTTATTTTACTGTAGTCTTGTTTGGCCAACTACTGCAAAAGCTTGTCTTAGCTGTTGAAATGTGAAACAGCTAGTAAACTAGAATCTTAAATCAGTGGCCTGCTCTGCTGAGCTTTCCTATTTCCAAGCAAAAAGAATTAATTCTTGTCCCTAGCACTTTGGAGATTATTTGTGGGCTAGTACTGTAGTTCATCCTAAGTTTGTTTCTTGTCTCACATTTTCTGACCTCCCCCAGCACCCATGTGTTGATACTGACAATTCTTCCTCAGACAGAAGCAGGAGTGGTTCTTATTTGGAGAAGCATCCCAAAGACACAGGGAGATAATTGTACATTTTCAGGAGGCAGTCGATTAAATCTAGTGTTTCTTAGTGGGTGACGTATGGAAGAGAGCTGGAGATGACTTTCATGACCTTTGAAGTGTGTAATTCTTGTAAAGGATAGCTAGGACAGTAATCCTGGTGCCCAGTAAGGGGTTGCTGGTTAGATAGATTCAGAAGCTGTGAAAAAAACAGCCAAGTCTGAAGAATCCAAATAACTTGGAAAACAAATTATTACAAACAGAGAAAATGGCTATGTTATGTTGTATACATTTCTTATGTATGAATATTTATTGTTTAAGGGAGCTAAGCTTCTGACAGTCTCAAATGTCACAAAATTAGAAAATAGTTTTCATCTGGTGGTACTCCATCTCTTTTGGAGACTTGATTTCTACTTTGCATGTTTACATTTGTAAACATCTACATGAAAACTAGTTATATGATGCTTTTCTTTCTGTCGCTCTTGATATTCATTGAGCTTCCTTTTGCTCCCTAGCCATTCAACCCCACCCCCCCCCGCCCCAGCTTATACTCCCCTTTTGACACTCCTCTAGACAAAGTATTTTGGTCTGGGAAAAAAGTATTTCTCAATTTAATTTGCATGATTTAAGGCGAGTGATCTCAAAGGACACTGATCTTACATCTCTCTTTGCAATATCAATTCACAGCAGAATGATGTCTCATGGAATCAAGCTTTCTCAGAAGCAAAGGAAAATGATTGCCCTGGCAGCAAAAGATAATGGATCAGTAACTAGCAGCACAGAGTCTACTATGCTAATAACCACACCACCCCCACCTACAAAAGTTGCAAAACTAGGGAATGCATGGTATGTTACAAATCAAATGTCACTTCTTTTTCTTTGGAGGGTTTTTACATTGAATAGTCTCTTAGGAGCACTTTCTTAAATAGAAATGGCCTAGGTTCTGTTCATTAAAAAGACTAGCATTGAACTATTTGTATCTACATTTGGTAGTAATCTAGAAATTCAAAGGGAGTTGGGAAATGCAGTGACTGCAGTTTAACTATTCTTGGGAATTTTGCTGTAGTGAGTCAGAAGACTGCATCCCATCTGGTTCTTGCCTGTGTATGATGTGGTATTTGCAGATAGTATCAAAGTGAAGTATAGAAAAAGAAGGTTGAGCACAAGCTCTGAAACTTAGTCAGGAAGAGATTATTGGAAAACATTATTTTTTTTTCTCTGTCAAAAACATAAAGAAAAATGTTAGCCCTTCCTGGGGGAAAGGGGTAGAAGGACTTTGGAGCAGAGCAAAGACAGACCAAAACTATAGATAACAAAGTTATCCAGGTGGCTAGGAGCTGGAGGGAGTGATGGATGCTGCTAAGAATTCTTAGGGTGGAAAGATGCATAGTGGGTTTAAAATTACTTTTAATGCTGTTTACACACAGTTTAAACATTCAAGTTAATATCACTGTATCAAATAGAAAAATGGTTTATCATCTGTTCAATGAACTAGGTTTACAACAATGAATGTAATGACGTGCTATCCTGATTCATGCTTTGTTCTTCAGTTGGCATTGGATGAAAGTATAAAGGCATAACTGTAAAAGTTGCAAACTGTGTAAATGTAATGTGTTTAATTACTGCAGAATAAATACCTATGTGCGTGCTTTTAACTTGAGTTAAATTTTGGGCAGTTCTCCCCCTTTCCCTGTTCAAGAAGGGCTTGACTTTTTTTGCAGCTTGCCTCTGTACTGGTACCCTAGAAGAGCTGTGAGCGAGTCTGCTCTCTACAGAGCTTACCTGTTTGTGCCTCGGTGGGAACAAAGCTTGCTGCATACCCACCACAGTCACTGTATTTTAAATGAAGTCTTTTTTTTTTTTTTTTTTTAGACAGTTTAGCTGTTTAAGATGCTACTGTAGTAGCTTTGCTTTTGTATTGGATAGATTTCAAATAGGAGTCTGTTTGTCAAAGGACAGGTTTATTTTCCACAGTTAGAGCTGCCTTCCTCTTGCGGTTTTGGCTCTTTTTCCTTTCATCCCTTATATGAATTGGTTTCTCCTTTCAGATATAAGAGTACTAAGCATCTGTTGGAATCTGCCTCTCTGCTATGCTCCTGTAAATTCAAAACACATTTAGCCTCACAGCTATTTAATGAGTGTATGGAGAGAAAAAAAAAAAAAAATCACATCATTAGCTGGCTGAGGAAAAGGTAGGCAGCTTCCTGGCAATACTGGTTTCCTGAGAGGCGTTCTGTGTCAAAAAGTTTAGGGTAATATGTAGAACTGTTTGCTTCTCTGCTCCATTTTATGTATCTCAGCTTTCTTTTCTTGGATGGATGCCTTTACAATCAGCACCTTGAATTTGAAGTGTCTTTAGGGCTTTTTTGAGGTTCCACATAGGTCTGTTGGTATGCTATTATCTTAGGCCATAATAATAGCAGTAATATCACAGAACATAATGATAGTAAAATAGAGCAGGTGTTCAGAATATTCATCAGTAATGTACTGGAAAACCAGTGAGAGTATGTTGTAATCATCTCAAAATCATGCATTATATATATATCTTATATACAGTTAAGACACCAGAACAAGCGTTGCTTCTCTAGTGGACACCATGCGGTACACGCAGCCTTATGGCTAAAGGGCCTTGGTATTTTACAGGGCCTATCAAGGATCGTGTCAGTCTGATCTGACATGGGCAGTTGTGTGGTGCTTTAAAGGTACTGTGACATGAAGTGTCCTTCAAGTAGTGATTCTGACAGTGATGGCTGGGTTTCCTCCAAGAGTCAGTGAAAGCAGGGACAAGAAATCTTCTCTTTAGGCATCTGTATATCATGGACTGATTATAACTAGAAAGAATAGTTATATGCCATGTATTTCCAGTGTCCAGTTTACAAGCTATAGAGGTATGTTACTCCAGTAGTTATTTACAAAAATTACCTGCCTAAGATGACCTGGTTTAAAAAATATCCAGCACACAATATTTCAAGTGAATCTAAGAAAAGGTTGAATTCTTTTGTTTTGATTTATACAAGCAGGACTTAACTATCCATCTTCTCAATTTGTTTTCAACTGTGGACACCTAATGCCAAAATATAGGGTCTCATTTATTCCCCCAGCCCACAAAAGTTATTCTGATACAACATTGGGCAAAGCCCACAATTCTGTCTTAACAGAGATATAGAATAAATTGGTTTGTACCTAAGGATTCAGACTCTGCCTGACCTCTGAACTGTAGTTGGGACCTTCACAATAGGAAAAATGATGTTTGCAAGATTTGTCTTCTGAATTCTAATAAGTGGATGAATTTCAGAATCCTTAACACTGATCCTCTCAAATGCTCCAAAGAACATGCCACCTGCTTTACACAGGTGCTACTGCCAGTCAAGCAGCAAGTTAGTTATTTGGCTGAGCTACTGGAGATGTCACAGGGCAATTATAGCTCTAAGGCTTAAAATGTGCTGGGAGAGACTGACAGTTGAATCAGATGGTGACCAACAAAGGAAATACTGAGTTTTGCTATCCTTTATTGCATTAAAAAAAAAAATCAATCCATCTACTATTTTTAATTTTACTACTAATGTTATAATTATGCATATACACTATATAACCTAACATCTACAATGATGATGTACACAGTCTTACATACACAAATCACACGGGCTCGTTCACACCCGAATTTACATGTTGCTGCAAACCACAACCCCTTTGTGCCCATCAGTGACTCAGCATGGCAGCACCAGGGAAGCCACGCTCTTGTGCAGTACCCGATAGGTGACTCGGAGGGCTGTCCACACTGATGCGAGAGGACAGCTGCAGCTGGAAGGGGTGCTGCTAATGAGGTGGACTGGTGCCTGCACAAGTCAATCCTTTTCCTCAGGCACCCAGAAAAGTCAGGAGCCTTTCTGTGATCAGTGGTCACAAGTGGGTCTTCTCTGGAGTCTTCAAGGGAACTTCCCCAGACTTGCCATGGCCTGGCTTGGACTGATGTTAGTGATCACTGGTGTAGGCACTTCATGGGTATTTTCAGCCAGTCATCTTAAATATCATCAGTTAGCTTCTGGTTTTGTTTTACTAGACATCTTCAATCTGTAGTTTTATATACTTGTCTCTGACAGACTTTGGGTATCAGGGGAAGGACCTATGGAAACCCATTCACAGGAGGATGTTTGTATAAGACATTTGTCTTTCTCTAGCCTGTTCTTGCCCTTCTCCCCTTCATAGGCAACTTTTAGATTGGAGCCTGGAGGAGGTTTTGGAGGATGTTGTGTAGCTTATCTAGTTATCTAGGCTTCTTCAGAAGGTTCGTTTTTTATGTTCCTGAAGTCCTAGTTTTCAGTGTCAGAAAAATAAATGACTCTTTAGAAGTATTTGTACTGATTGACTTAAGAACATGAGCTAGATACCTCTAGTTAAATTATTTACTTCAAAATACAGGAAATAAGATATCAAGAGAAGCTCTGATTAAAGGCATATAAAAATGCAGGGCATAACTTTCTTGATCTGACATCTGAATAGTTTGACTATTCATGCTATTCATATACTCTCTGATAGATAATTCTTTACCTATTGGATGTTATTTAATTTTTGTTCCTTGCATTTAAAAAGCAAGTACAGGCTGATTTTTTTAATATGCTTGGATAACTGTCTCTAGAAAATATATTGTGCTCTTAAGGTTCTGCTTAAACAGTTTTTGAAAGTAGCTGGGGTCTACTGTGTTGTACAAACCATTTTAAGCGGCCAGGGTGTACTTCAGGAGGATGGAATCCAGTCTGACACTCATGTGGTCACCACGCATGTTTCTGTGTGTTCCTCTGCAGCGTGCCTCTGGCTGCTGATCTGGAAAATGCTAGTATCTAAAGAGTTAGAACAAAGAACCAGTTGGAGGTATATGAATATTTAAAATTATGTCTAGCTGCTGGAAGAGAGCATTTTTTGAGTAAACTTTAAGCTGCATTAGGCGAGCCATCAATTACTTCATTGCCCCTGCTAGTTGTTTAAAGTTTGTACATAAGGTAGAATGGTAAGTGTTACTCATCTGCTCATATATTATATTTTCAAAGTTACGTTATGTAAATTCACAACAGACTATTAAAGTGCATTTGGCAATGGATTGAGCTTTCCACGCATGCAATATAGTCAAAGCCATAGAACTTGTGTTCCAATGAGGTAAGATACTCATCCTGGATGTCAGTGAGCGCACTTGCCAGAAGAGTGTGGGATCTTCCAGCTCTTTTTTGGTTGAGTAAAAGAGCCTATCATGTGCAATGTCCTACCTTTTCTACCGAAAGAAACTTCCAGTTTAATAGTTTTTTTGGGACTAAAACTATGTTTCCTCCTTTGAAGAAAAGTAGAAATCAGAAGGTGGGAAAAAAAACCCCACACTAGTAATACTTTGAGAGTATGTCATGTAAAAAGCTAGATGTTAACTTTATTACTTCTCCAAACCTACTTTGATTGAGGAAGAGGATTGTTGTTTATTTGTTTTGGTTTTTTTTTTTTTTTTTAAGCTCAGAAGAGCCTATGGCTTTTCAAGAGTGGAGGCATAAAGAAATTTGAAGTCTCTCTTAAGAATTAACAGTTGTATATTTTAATGTCTAGGTTATCAGTTTGTCAGTATTCCAGTTTATACTGAAACATCAACAGCTGTTTAAGAACTTCAAGCTTTGATATTTTGCAGTTACAGCTTAGAGAAACTTAGTCATATTGTACTTTAAAAAAAAAAAAAAGATGTAGAAATTAGTTTTTCTAATGCTACAAATTAGATAGAAATGACAGTGTATTAGGCAGTAAAAGCTGAAATTTAGAGTTGTTACTATTAGAAAAATTTGTACCAGTTTATGCTGAACCATTTTAAGCCACTGGTAATTGTTTTGGGAAGATTCACAAGCTAAGAATGATGCAGGGTTGGTTTTTTGTTTTTTTTTTTTTTTGCTTTGTTTTGCCTTTTTTTGGGGGGGGTGTTTTTTTTTTTTTATGTGGGGGTTTGGTGCTGTATTGCAAGTGAATTTGGTTGCAGTACAGAATTTTCATTAAAATGGGTAGGATACTTAAATTCTTAGTAGCATAAGAAGCTTCTGTGACAGCAGATCCCAAGGGAACTATTCGCCTACTTGGTATAGTAAGCTTGGGGAAGTTCTGGTCAAACTCTTGCCTGGACTCTTGTGTGCCAGCTGGTAGCAGTAACAGAGGATGTGCAAAATGTCTTTGGGCCTCTGCATCTGGAGGTTCCCCTTCTGCTTTCTATGCCTTCTATGCTGCTCAAGCAGTATTAAAAAACAAGAGAAAAACAACAACAAAACCCTCCAAACTTAAGTCCAGGTGGTCTAGCATGGAGTTCAGACATCATATATAACTTTGAGATGCTTTTGTTTTAAGATTTGAGAGACAATGTTGTAATATTTTAATTCCCTTATGTTAGTTATCTTAAATTGTATACAGTATAGATGTAGTTTGAAAGTCTTTGGCTTCAAATGCTTCCCTTATGTTAGCTGCACAAACAATTAAGATTGTATAGAAAGCTTGTTTTGCTTTTGTAGTGTTTATAATTGATCTCTTTTTTCTTTGAGTAGATAATGAGCTGAGCTATTTTTCCAATATGTATTTTGTATATTTGACCATGAGTGGAACTGCTGTGCTTAGTAAAGTTAAACATAAGCAAATGTACGAAGAGTTAATTACAAAATCTTGGTGAGTAAGGGGAAGACTAATGATAACTGTCTTGAATTCCATACGTAAAAAGGCTTTTGGATCAGAAAGTGTTCAGAATAGCTGTGAAGCTAAATTGCTATATTTTCATACCGGTTCATTTTTGAAAGGTGATATGCAGATGATATGTTCAATAACAGTGTCCATTGGGCAAGTAAAAGAAAATAAAGCATATCAGTTTTATGAATTTCACTGTAGATTTAAGCGATTTATAAAGTAATTTATAGAGCCTCCAGCAGGTATGAGTAACTCATTCAATATCTTGGGGAAAGAAGATCAGCTATACTTGACTTCCATGATGGTAAATTAACAGTAGTAGGACAAAAGTACTAGAGCATTGTGTGATTTATGAAAATGCTTTTCAAGGAGTAATACTATTAGACAAGATACAGCTTGTCTAAGACAAGGTGTCCGTGAAAATAAAATTGCTTCTTATGAGGACAGGCTATGGAGGGAATAGATGGAGGGGTGGTTTTTGAGTTCTGTTTTGTTTGTTTGTTTGTTTTTTCCTTCTAATGAATTTTCTGTACTACTGGCTTGTTCTGTTCTCATAGGTATTTATTTTCTGATGTTTACCTATTTGACCAAAAGTGACTTATTTTAGTGAACGGGGTCTTGCAGGCATAATGGCAAAATAAAAAGCTAAGTAATATTGTATTTTTATTTTTACTATCTGAAAAGGCCCTCTTTGCTATCTGAATCGTGGAACAGTGTGGTGTCTTGGAAAATGCAAGTATAAAATTAGTTGGTTTTGTTTGTTTGTTTTTTAAAAGGTCATCTTCATTACATTCTGCTTTGCCAAAGTCATTCCGTGATCTTGTAATGGAAGAAGAAAAATGTATGAGTGCAAATACTTCACCTGGTACTGGTATCAAAAGAGCTGGATATAAAGGAACTGAGGATTCATCAGTCCAAAACACCATAAGGTAAGAGAGCAATCTTCTCCTAATTAATCAACCATTATAGAAGAACCACAGTAACCTGTTTAAATTCTGCTGAAATAAGAAAAAAAAAAAATCCTATAAGCATTCTTTTAATTATTCTGCTAGTAGGATTTTATTAACAGAGTACTCTTGTGAATAGGAAGCTTAAAGACTAAAGCAATTTAATGCCACTGCTAATATTTTGTTTGAGGTTCCAAGTGTTTGTGTCTGTATGTATGGACATGTGTATATGTGTGTGTGTATTATGTGTGTATATATATATATTTATATATGGACATAAACCCTTCAGGCTCCAAACAAAATGTGTGTCTATGTGTGTGCATTTGTATGTGTATATATGTATAAAAATGATAAACCTATATTTTTCTGACTTCTGTAGAAATTAGATATTCTTTAGCATTCAGATATGATGTGCATGAAACAGAATTTGCTTAGGAGTATTTCTGTGTGACCACTGAGTGGATAAAATCAGTTTATTCAAACATAGTTCTGGCATTTCTGGATCTGAGTTTTCTTATAAGCTGACTTAATTGTTTAGGTGCAATTTTTCATGGATTAATATGGCTTACTGAAATATTAATGCATTGGTTATGTCCGTGTATTGTAATTACTGGGGGACCACAATTCTAAGGACAAAAATAACTTGTTCTGAGGTGCACATTAAATATGTCTAGTTATTAGACAATATTGCTCTTTGGTCATACTATTTTAGCCACACATCCTCTTGCTACCTCCAGTGAAACGTCTGTTTTTGGGTTAAAATAACCATCTGAGCTGAGGAAAGAAATCTTAGCCTTATTCCTGAAGGTCTCTGTGAGTGAGTTTCCCATCCACCTGCATGTCTTCTCCCTATCATCAATAACTTTGAGTGCTATGGATTTAAAAATATTTATGAGACGGAGGGCCTGAAAATCTTACAGACTTTCCCACCCACCATCTGGAAGCAGTGCAGGCCAGCTGCATCAAGGTGGTAGGACTGCCTGGGTGGTGGTCTCACAGAATCACAGAATGTTGGGGATTGGAAGGGACCTCGAAAGATCATCTAGTCCAATCCCCCTGCCAGAGCAGGAACCTAAACGTAATCACACAGGAAGGCGTCCAGGCGGGTCTTGAATGTCTCCAGAGAAGGAGACTCCACAACCTCCCTGGGCAGCCTGTTCCAGTGCTCTGCCACCCTCACTGTAAAGTAGTTTTTTCTCAAGTTTAAGTGGAACCTCCTGTGTTCCAGCTCACACCCATTGCTCCTTGTCCTATCGTTGGGCATCACTGAGAAGAGCCTGGCTCCATCCTCATGACATTTGCCCTTAACATAATTGTAAACATTAATTAGGTCTCCCCTCAGTCTCCTCTTTTCCAAGCTAAAGAGCCCCAGCTCCCTCAGCCTTTCCTCATAAGGGAGATGCTCCACTCCCTTAATCATCTTCGTGGCTCTAATCATCTTCGTCTCCCTGGCAAGGGCACAGCCCCGCTGTGCCAGAGTGAGGTGAGCAAGGGCAGACTCCGTGGTGGAAAGCAGGGTGAGCCACAGTCAGTGAGCGCAGGCAGGTCCATTGGGATGAGGCAGAGCTGAGGTAAAATCTGCAAGTCAAGTCTGACTCAGAAACAGCAAGGCTGGGCTTGGGCAAAGCTGCAGCGTAGCTCAAGAAAGGCCTAGGACTGAGGGACTGAGCTTAAATGCAGCTCCTGAGTAAAGAGAGGGAACCCCTGTGAGCCTTTGCACAGCTCTTCCTTACAATTTTGCTGTGTTCATAGCTGCCTGACTCAAGTTTACGCAGCTGTGCTGAGGAAGAAGAATTTGGAGAGCCCGTTGGTGCACAGGAAGATGTGACACCCGTTACCTCCTAGTTTTTCTTACGAACTTGTGTTCCATTCCCCTCCAAAAACTCTCCACCCCATAAAGAAAAGAAAGTTCTGCTAGGCCTCCCTCTTGGTTACTCAGCTTGGATAGAAACTGGTATTTCTCTAGAACAGAAGTAGTATGTGTCCTATTGGTAGATGAAGAACAAAATGAAAGTAGAAACATAGGAATATGATGTATGGGATGGTATTAGAGTAGGAGAGAAGTAGGAGAGAAGTAGGAGAGAAGTAGGAGAGAAGTAGGAGAGAAGTAGGAGAGAAGTAGGAGAGAAGTAGGAGAGAAGTAGGAGAGAAGTAGGAGAGAAGTAGGAGAGAAGTAGGAGAGAAGTAGGAGAGAAGTAGGAGAGAAGTAGGAGAGAAGTAGGAGAGAAGTAGGAGAGAAGTAGGAGAGAAGTAGGAGAGAAGTAGGAGAGAAGTAGGAGAGAAGTAGGAGAGAAGTAGGAGAGAAGTAGGAGAGAAGTAGGAGAGAAGTAGGAGAGAAGTAGGAGAGAAGTAGGAGAGAAGTAGGAGAGAAGTAGGAGAGAAGTAGGAGAGAAGTAGGAGAGAAGTAGGAGAGAAGTAGGAGAGAAGTAGGAGAGAAGTAGGAGAGAAGTAGGAGAGAAGTAGGAGAGAAGTAGGAGAGATTTGGAGAGTATACATGATGGGTGAGTGGGCGTTCTTCAGGAACAGAGAGATAAAGCTGAAGTTATTGTGAGTGGAGATGTAGGGACAGGAAGCACAAATCTGCAGAAAAACAGGTATGATTAATTTTATTGCTAGCAAAATTATAAAGCTTTTCATCCTATGGGAGATGGCAAGGGCTGGTGATAAGGGAATTTGCACTGGATGCTATTATTAGCTTTGTCACACATGCTCTGTGATCTTCATAAAGTAATTTATTTTCCTTTTGCATTGCTCTGTCTAGTCTGTGCAGTCTGGCCAGTCTGCACGCTCTCCAAGTGGATTATTTGAGATGAATCCAGACCTAATACGTTAGCTGTCTGAAAATGATACATTAAGCTAGTGGCAGCCTAGATGACTAGATTGTCTGTAATCAGTTGGAAAAGATGGCACTTCCAGAGCTATTTCAGGTTGTTTTCAATTGTGTCTGAAGATACTTACTTCTCTCTATTAGGTATAAAGAGCCTAGATGACTAGTTCGTCTGTCTGAAAGTTAGGAGTTGAGTTTCTAGTTTGAGGTAATTTTATTCTTTGACTGTACAGTTCCTGTCACAGTAGGCTCTGGTTTTTGCCTGCAGCATTCAATTACTATTTCTGTGAAGATTAATTATCCACACCCTTACCCCTTCCTTTTTAAGGAAAGGGAATTACATGTGTGTAGAGCATAAGTAATCTTAATCTGTTGGTGTCAGCTTTTCTGATGGGACGCTGAAGATACTTGTGTGGCTACTGTTCCTGCTTTGTCTTTTTTCTTTGGATAAACTGTGCAGTAATTACACTGACAATTTTCTTAAGTCTCTGGATGAGGGGTTTTTGGTGGTTGCATAAACACTCTTCCATATATTGTCACCGTCCAATTTATGCAACCCAGAAGTTTTCTGTAGATGAAGCATGTCATGAATGTGGAGATGTGAGCTGGATTCAGTCCAGAGGTAGATCAGCCCAAAAGCTGAGCTGTGTGGATGTGGCTGCATTGTTTCCAGGGACAGCTCCGCCTTGGGAGTTAGGCTGTGCAGCTGTGCATGTGTAACTCATAGTCCAAGCGCGAAACATAGGCCTGACATGACTTAACTTTGTTGTGGCAGCCTGGGTTGTCTTCACTGTGTTACTCCAGGGAGCAGTGAAGAGTCTTGGTGGAAACAAGTCTTTGTGGCTTTGTGTGGGAATGGCCTAGTTCTGGCATGGCTAATAATGAGCTAATAAGTAGCACATGACTCAAATGGTACAACAAAACCCAAGAGATTCTGCAGGAGACCAGGCTTTGTGTTCCTTTTTTGAGAGCAGTCGTTAGATCAGGGAGGCACCGGAACTGGCTTCAAATGAACAAATCCTCAAGAAACACAAGGGAGCTGAGTGCTGGGACATCTTGGTGGCGGTGCAGGAGTCATGGCAAGTTCAGCCAACTGAGTTAATCAGGTTGGTTCAGTACTGATGGTACTTGTCTGGTTTGTTTCTGTGCAGAACCACTTATGTCTCTGCATCAGTCTTTAATTTTCAAGACTTCCAGGCTTCCAAGTTCTATATTTTTGAGGCTTTTATTTTTTTTCCTGTATATGCTAGCTTCCTATTTCCCATCTGTTCCATTTCTCCTAGTTATTTTGATGCCAGCTGAGGAATTAATCTAGCATGTTGAAATATCTGCAGTTGATTTAATATCTGGACTGAGTGTCTTGCTAGCAAGAAACACAGATGTACTTATGTGCAGACAGCTTCAAAATATCTGAACTGCTTCCTACGTTTTAAAACCACATTTAAACTGAGGGAGATGACACAGGTATTTAAACTTACCCTTTAATTGATCACTACAGTGTACTGTGACACTGAAATGGTTGATTCCAGTTTTCTTTAAATTTCTGTTGTGGTGGGTTTTTTGGCTGTTGTTTGGAGTTTTTGGTTTGGTTTTTGTTTTGTTTTGTTTAGAAGTCTTACTCTGGAAAGAACTTTTTATCAGTACTGAAACAGGCTTGTTAATATACATGGATTCATTTATAGTAGTGCTGTGAGTCCTTTGGATTGTGAGTGGGAAGAAAACCGTAGCTGTCAAATGGACTGGATAGGTGTCGGTTACTGTGAAATGTGCAGGCAGGTGAGCATTACTGAAGCAAGTGGAAAAAGAGATAAAGTTGAGAGATAACACCAGAATAAAGGCATTTCATAAGTTGTACAAACTTGCTCTTAATGAAACAAACCAGCAAGCAAAAAACTGTCTTTGTCTCCTCTTCCACTTCCTTCCTTTTCTCTGGTTCTTTTCTGGTTTTTATTATGTTATTATCTTTCTTAAGTACAGTAAAAGCTGGAAGCTGATTTATCTAGATTCAGCTAAAAAGTAGTTCCCTGCTGTTGAAATCATAGAATAATTTAGATGGTCTAGTTCAGCTGCCTGCTCAAAAGAAGTCAAACTAGATCACAATGCTCAGTCTGGTCCAGTTGAGCTGTGACTGCTTCCAAGTATGAAGATACCCCAGTCTTTCTGGGCAACGTGTTCCAGTGTATGATCATCCCCATAGTGGGATTTTTTTTTCCTTATGTCTAACTAGGATTTCCTGTTTTGCAGCTTCTGTGTGTTGCCTCTTACTCTGTCGCTGTGCAAGTCTAAGAAGATTCTTGCTGCACCTTTTCTGTACTCTGCAGTTAGGTAGTTGAAGACAGCTGTGAGATCTCCCCTTTTGCCGCTTTCTTTTAGAATCAACAAAGCACAGTTCTTCCTGTTGTGTGTTCCAGCCCCTAATCTTGGTGACCCTCCACTGGACTTATTCCAGCCTGATAGCATCCCTCTTGTATTAAGGAGCCCAAAACTGGGTATGATACTCTGTATGTAGACTAAAGAACCCAGCATAGAAGGAAAGAATCGCTTCCTTTGACTGCCTGGCTACACTCTTGCTCGTACAGCGCAGCATGCAGTTGGCTGCCTTTGCTGCAAGGGCACGTGCCGATTCATCTTTGACTTGCTGCTGCCAGGACTCTGCAGAGCTGCTCTTTAGCCAGTCAGCCCCTGGCACGAACTGCTGTGTGAGGCTGTTCTTTTCCAAATATAGGACTTTACACTTGCTTTTGAAATTCTTCAGTTCTTGTTTGCACATTTCTCCAGCCTCTTGAGGGTCTTCTGAATGGCAGCCTGGCACCCAGAATGTGGACTGTTGCACTCTCCCCATCCATCTATGGCCTTTCTTGAGAGTGTACTCTGTTCTGCCAAAGTTGCTAAACAGGACTGGTCCCAGTATCATTCCCTGAGGATCACCACTAGTACTTGGTTTCCAGTTGGACTTTGTACAGCTAATCCGCAACCCCTGAAGCCCTTCAATACAGCCCGTTTTCCTACTCACTACGTATTTCAGACTGAGTATAAGAATATGGCAACAGAAAATGTCAAAGGCCTTGCTGAAGCCAAGGAACATGATATCCACTGCCAGCGCCTGTCATCCTGTCACAGAAGGCAATCAGGTTGGTCAGATACAATTTGCCTTGTGTCATAAATCCATGCTGGCTGTTCCCATTTGTCTTCTTCTCCCACATGTACTTAGAGATTACCTCCAGAAGGGTTTGCTCCACAACCTTCCTCAGGAGTAAGGTGAGACTGATCAGTCTGTAGTTCCCTGTATCCTCCTTCTTGAAAAGGAGTATAATGTTTAGCTTTTTCTAGTCATCAGGAAGCACCTGTGGTTGTTTAGTTTGTTTTTCTTCTTGCTAATACGGAAACCCTTTCTTTTATCCTGCACACCCCTCAGTTGTTTCAGCTCCAGCTGGGGATTTGCTCTTACAACTCTGTCCCAGTACACAGAAGTAGTATTTCTATTTCCTTTGGTGTAGACTGTCCCCACTACCACTGTTCATTTATGTCCTTTTTGAATTTGGAGTCCATTGAGATTTGCCTTTTCAATCCTGCCAACCTTCTGCCATGCTTGTTTGACTTAAGACACATTGAAAGGATCTGGTTTTGTGTTTGGAGGAGCTGTCCTTGTATATCAAAATTCAGTCCAGATACTGTCTGTATGAAGTGTAGTCATTCTCTCTAGTTCTTTCCTTTGCCAGGTTAGAGGTAGTCTTTAATCTTTTCTCAGATGATCAGTGGAAGACTCAATATCAGTTATTCTTCTCTGCATCTATGACAGTTTAGATTATTCTTACTTGAACATAGGAGACCAAAACTGAAAGCTTGTCCAAATAAGCTTTGTCCAGTGTGGTGTATGTTGGCAAAAGTATTTGTTTTAAAGGGAAACAACTTTGTTTTTTACCCAACCACATGCTTCTGATTCGTTATCATGGTCAGTACACCCCAGATTCTTCTTTTTCTCTTCAAGCTGGAAAATTCCCACTTTATAGCTACTACAGCCTTCACTTCTTTTGTTTTGTACTTTTGAATCTGCTCTCCCATTGCTTCGTTCCACAGTCATACTGTTCATTTTTATCCTTTGCTTAATTAGTAGCATCTCTTACCATTGTCTACTGGTTTGATCTTTGCTGCTTATTGTGTCCACCAACGTTAACTTAGTTATTTTTCTTTTAGTTAACTTATTCTCTAAAATAATAATTAACCCAACTGTAAAGTGAGTAAGGAGTTAGTGAGGTATGAGAGATATGAGAAACTTATTTGAAAAAAAAAATGTTATGTGGTAGTTGACTCAGTGTCTTACAGAATTCCCATATTCTTTTATCACGCTTGGCTGGCATAACTCGATACCTTTCTTAAATAAAATAGAATTGTCTAACCTGCCATTTTTAACAAAGATAAATCTGGAAAAACAATGTACAAGATACTGATTTATTACCTTTTTTCCATTTTTAACTATTCTTCAACGCTTATGGAAAAAGCATGGTGTATTACTGAGGTCAAAATAAAGGAAGTGCACCTATATAGATAATCTGGAGAATGGTACAGCAGGTTTCACCACTCTTGCCATGGAGCTGTTGTTTCATGTGTCAGTTCTTTCAAAGCTCTGGAATAGCAGTTATCTAGAAATGTCCAGTTTGGAAAGTACCACACCTTTTTGGTTTCCTTTCCATGGAGTATGCCACTGGCTGTCCTGCCAGTGTCTGATATGATCACCATTACTGAAAATGGAGGGGAAAGATCGTCTTGACTAGCATGAGCTGTGCTTTCCTGGTGGAAACACAGAAGCAATACGACCTGGCAGAACGTATATCTGCTGCGTTTGATTCAAGGGAGTGACACTGTAGAAAGCCTCTTTTAAAGTCCAGTGTTATGCCCTGGCAGCTGTTGCTGCAGATACATGTATATTTTTCTCTGAGCAGTTAAATTTCTGTTCATTCTATTCTTTGAGTAATTGGCTGTTTGGTGGGCAGAATTATATTTTGTCAGAAAAAGCTGGGCATGGTTCATTTAAATGACATTTTTGATGATTAATGTTTCATTTCATATTTTTTGAGACCTTGCCCTCATTGCTTAGCAGTAGGAGTCATGGTTCTTGTTGTCTTTGGAATTGTGTTCTGGGGAAAATATTCTAGGCAGAGAACTTAGCAGTTACTGGAATTCTCTTAGCTTTCTATAGATTTTTCCTCTTTTCCAAGAGTTTGTGGCCACTTACAGAGGATTACCAAATCCTTAAAGAAAATTGAAACTGATTTATTGAAATACCAACACCCTTAGAGTTTTTCACAATCCCATGTAATAATTCAAAAAGTCTGCTAGCATTTCACAGTATGCTGTAACACTCTTAAGAGTTCTGGAAATCTCAAAAGTTGCCAAAGATAGGTATTAAATCACAAGAATGGGTCCCTCCCTTCCTACTGATGTAGGATTTTTCTGACAAATATACTTGTCTCTGAAGGCATACAATATACTAAATGTGACTTCTTTTTGTTGAAAGGTTAACATTTTGCAACTAAATAAAATATCTTCCATTTGGGAACTATTGGTATTTCAGGATTTTTTTTTTCTTTTTTCAATTCTGTTAATTCTAGTTTTATGCTATTCTCGTGAATGTGGGAGATGGTTGCAGGTTTTGTACTGAAAGTCCATAATTTCTGGGCTTACACTTGAGGAAATAATTTACTAGTGCTATTGTAGCACTGTTTTTTTCACATGAAATGCTTAATTTGAATACAGGATAGTTGTTTGTGGGATTTTTTTTTTTTGTTTTGTTTTTGGTTTGTTGTTTTTTTTTTTTAATCTTGAAGACATATTATTTTAATATTAATTGCAAAAATCTGTAGTCAATGCTGTTAGTGCATGACTCGGTTGACTATTTTACATGTAAAACCCTTGTGCAAATTCCAAATGTAAGGAAATGTCAGAATTAATGGTCAAGCTGAAAATCCATTAAGTTCTGGTAGTCAGAAATGAACATCAGTGTCTCCTCTAGTCATAGTGTCACACTTAAAGACTAATTCAGCATGACATCCTAATGCTTTCTTCTGGAAAAACCTTGCACATTTTTAATTGCCTACTATATATTTGTACTTCACAGTAAGGTGTAGAAGAATGCTCTGTCAGTGATTGTCACTTTCCTTTCCTACCTTTTCCCAGGTGCACCACTAGAAGTAGTCCAAGTCTGGAAGACCATGTTCTGGATTCTCCACAACTTGAGAGTCAGAAGTAAGTTTGATAGTGGCTTAGATTCTGGAGCTTGTTTTCTGTGCGTTGTGCTGATCTTGTTCTTGGTCTTGCCTTGTAACGTCATTTGTTTTTTGGTTTGGTTTTTTTTTTTTTTTTTTGCAGTCCTTGGTTATCAGCATCACCAATTAGCTCTCCTGTGATGGCACCTGTCATGTTTTCAGCTATTGTAGAGGAAGAGCTCCAGCAAGAAGCTGCTCTTATAAGAAGCAGAGAAAAACCTTTGGCTTTGATCCAGGTAAAGTGCTAAGTTACTGCAGCTGTGAAGTAACACAAGGAGTTTCCAATGACTGTTTCAGAAATCAGTTTTTAGGATTAATTATGTATTGGTACACTTAATATCATTTACATAATTATATTAAATATTGTTTAATAATAACTTCACGTTGCTATTTTATAAGGTAGGCCTATATTAAAGTCAAATTGACCACTGAGTCCATGATTAGTGCATTCAGAGCATCAGAGAATGGTTGAGGTTGGAAGGAAACTCTAGAAATTGTGTATCCAGACCTCTGCTCAGAGCAGGGTCAGTTAGAGCAGGTTGCTCAAAGCCATGTCCAGGCAGCTTTTGAATATCTACAAAGGTGGAGACTCCATGGCCTCTCTGGGAAACCTATTCCAGTGTTTGACCACCCTCTCAGTAAAAAAGATTTTTATATTTAAATGCAATTTTCCGTATATCAGTCTGCGACCATTGCGTCTTCTCCTGTCACGGGGCACAAGTGAGAAGAGTGTGGCTCAGTCGTGTATCTCCCGTCAGATATTTATACACTTGGAGATCTCCCTAAGCCTTCTGTTCTCCATGCTAAACAACTCCAGCATTCTTAGCTTCTCCTCATATGTCAGATGCTCCAAGCTCTTTATCATTTTTTTTTATTCCTTCACTGGACTGTCTCCAGTATGTCCATGTCTCTCTTGTACTGGCGAGTCCAGAAGTGGACCCAGCACTCCAAATGTGTCTCACCAGTGCTGAGTAGAGGGGAAGGATCACCCATCTCAATCTACTGGCAAAGCTGGCCCTCACAGAGCACAGGAGGCTGTCACTCTTCTTTGCCACATGAGCACATTGCTCATTAATAGTCATCTTGTCCACCAGGATCCCAGATCCTTTTATGCTAAGCTACTTTACAGCCTGGTGGCCCCCAGTGTGTGCTGGTGCTTGCGTTTATTCTTCAGGGGCTGAACTTCACATTTGCCTTTGTTGAACTTCATGAGATACCTCTTAGCCCATTTCTCCAATGTGTCTGGGTCCCTCTAATTGGAAGCACAATCATCTGGCCTACCAGCCACACCTTCCAATTTTGTATTGTCTACAACCTTGCAGAGGGTGCACTCTGTCCCATCATGTGGGTGATTAACAAAGATACTAAACAGTACTGGCCCTAATCTCAGGCTCAGTATTGGTGCTAGCGAGTGGCCTCTAGCTGGACTTTGTGCTACTGATCACAAGCTTTTGTGATCAACAGTTCAGCCAGTTTTCAGTCTGTCTCACTGTCCATTTATATTTTACGTACTTAAGCTTGTCCACTTAAGCTCTTAGTCTGTACTTAAGCTCTACCACTTTCCTAGGGATGAAGATGAGGGTGACTGGTAAGTAGTCACCCAGATCCTCCTTGCCCTTCTTGAAGGTAGCAATGACATTTACTTCCTTCCAGTCCTCAAGAACCAACCCTTGTTGCTACATCCTTTCAAAGATTTTTTTTTTTTTTTTTTTGAGAGTGGGCTTGCGGTTATATTGGCCAGCTCTGATCTCAGGGGCATGGGATTGCTGAAAGCTGATCTTAACACTAAGGACCAAGATGAAGGTGGCTGTTAGTTCCCCAGCCTTTTCCATGTCCCGTGTCATTCAGCAGTGGGCTCATGTTGTCTTTTTGCTGCTATAGAAGCCTTTCTTCTCGCCCTTCATGTCCCTTGCCAGATTCAACTCCAGATGGACTTTGACTTTGCTAGTTCTGTTCCTGAGTGCTCAGACAGTGTCTATATTTTCCTTCTGGATCACCTTTTTCTGCTTCCACTTCTTGTATGCTTCCTTTTTGTTTGAGTTTTGTTAGGGGCTCTTTTTTCATCCATGCAGGCCTCCTGCCACTCTTGCTTGGCATGGACCATTCTTGAGCTTGGAGGAGGTTGTCCTTAAAATCAACCAGCTGTCCTGGACCCCTCTTCTTTCCAGGGCCATATCCCATGATTTTTTTCTAAGCAGGTCCCTGAACAGATCATAGTCTTCTCTTCTGAAGTCCCATGTTGTTATCCTGCTATGTGTCTTGATCCCATCTCTCAGGATCCTGAACTCCTCTATCTCATGGTGATTGTAGCCAAGACTGCCCTCGACCTTCTCACCCCTGACCAGTCCTTCTTTGTTTGTAAGTATGAGATCCAGTAGAATGGCTCCCTTTGTCAGCTTCTTGATCATCTGTGTTAGGAAGTTTTCCACCAATGCAAACCTCCTGGAGTGCTCGTGCCCTGCTGTGTTGCCTTTCCAGCAGATATCAGGGTAGCTCAAGTTTCCCATGAGCAGCAGGTCCTGCAAACATGAGATTTCTTCAAGTTGTCTGAAGAAAGCCTCATCTACTACCTCTTCCCGATGAGGAGGTCTGTAGCAGACAGGCATTCAGGACCGGTAAAGCAAGTTCATAACTGTGCTACTGGTGTAACTGTAGATCTGACACTGACATAGATGTTCTTTTTTCCTTGCAGATCGAGGAGTGTGCTATTCAAGATTTATTAATCCACTATGAAGCTTTTGACAACCCTGATGAATTTGTGACTGTTGAAAGGGCTCCTCAGGGACCTATAGCAGCACCTATGTGGAACAAGCACTAATTTATACTGTTCACAGTCCATGTTGTTTGTGCACTTTTGAAGTTCTAATTCTTGTTAGAGGTAGAATGGGACTGGAAGAACAGGAATAATGTAATTTTTAACATCAGCATTAAAACACTGCACATAATCACTAGGTATTTGTTAGAGAGAATGGGATTAATTTGTTCACGGTGTCTTTTACCCACAGTATATATTGTACGTATGTTTTGAAAGAATTTCTTTAACAAGACATGTTATTAAGAATACATGGAGCTGTAGATTGGAAATGCAATTGCTAATCTTAAATTGTGAGGGTTTTTTGTTAAATTCACAGGTGGCTGAAAAACGAGTGCTTATTTTGTGTTTTAATGTGGAATTGAGTGTGCAGAATTATACATCTTTAAAGTTTGGGGGGGGGGGGATATGTTCTTCAGAGCTTTCTGGCAAATTGGAAATATTGGAAAAAGTTTGTGCTTTGAACTTCATGTAAAATTGCAGTTTGGTAATGCAGTTTTCCTTAAGTTATGTAAGTACTGGTTCTCTGATTGTTGTGGCCAGTACTTTTTACTGTCATGTTCCACGATGAACCTCTGGGCTGTACCAAAGTGCCCTGCCATTGCCTGCTCTCAGTTCAGTTGTGCATGTTTTTTCACTGTTGTGAGACTGGCCTTTGAGCAAGTCAGCTCTGTTGTGAAGTAAAGCACACAGTTGAATAGAACATGGTGGCACTTAATTAGCTCATCTGTAGTCTTACTCTGGTATATATGGTACAGTTTTAGAACCACTGTGTTTAAGGTACAATTCACTTGAAGTGCTGAGGAAATGAAGATCTGTGTATTCATTGTTAAAGCTGTAGGGATGAATGCTTGACTGTGGAATTTGCAAACACCTAACCTTCTAAGATTATCATAGGTGGCTTTCAGTATTGTGCGTTCCAAAGTTCTCTGTGCCTGGTTTAAACAAATTTATATATATATATATATAAAAGGAAAAAAAAAAAGTAGCCTTATCTACAATATTCTGTCTAGTTTGTCTGTTTGTGTAGCTGTGCTTGAACTTGTACTTTTTCAATAGTATTGGTACTCATGAACTCTGGAAAACTGGAATTGAACAGAGCTACAAAAGATGAATGTAGAGAATTGATCACTGTGTGATAAAAGAGTTGAATCTTGAAAAAAACCCCGTATGTAGATATGTCTAATGGTTTCAGGTCAAGCTACACCAAAAATCCCCCACAAAAATTGTAAACAAATGGCAATAAATCATAAAATCTTGATTTATACAAAGTTAGTATACTTTTATGTACTGTCTATATATATTCAGTAGATAACTATAGAGTAATCTAAAAATATTTCTTTTGTGTATAAAACAAGAACTGTAGGCATTTTGAAGGTACACAGGCAAAGGAAGATGTAGCTTGTAATTTTAAGTTCTGTTGGTGATTCATTCACTATACTGATGAGAATACTTGTGTTAAATGCTTTACTTAATGCACTGCAGGGCCCTGGGGCCTGATGAAACTGTCCTTCTGAATTAAAAGAAAGCTTATGTACTGTTAGAAATAGCTATAAAAGCAGTGGGCCTTTCCAGGTATGAACACAAGTTGTTCTCAAATATAAAATTATTGTAAAGTTGCTAATTTGCATTTTTTTTTCCAAAATTGATTACAATATGCTGTTTAAAATTTCATTTTCCTGTCATTGTAAGAGGATTCATGCTTCCACAGTGCCAAGTAGCTTGACTTTTAAGTTCTGGGTTTATTGCTGCAGTTTGCTTATGCATTGTCACTGGTTATATTTAATATTCAAAAAACAAAGTGAGGAATGATCATTGTACCACTCTTCTGAAGCTGAGAACATATTTTAAACTGTTGTGTTAGAACAGCTTAAAGTTAAGGCTAAAACGTGTCATGGAAAGCTGAAGATTTCATTTTTATTTAACTTCCTTAAAACTTGGAAATTAACAGAGTTTAAAATTTAAAATTATAGTGGAAGCAGAAACAAAAATTTCAAAATCCCTCAATTACAGTACACATGAAAACCCAAACAAAAATCCAGAACAAAGCAGTTGCATCAACAGATGTAAATGTCTCTCTGTGGAAGTGGTAGAACTTTAAATTTTCTTCAGTTATGTACTTTGCTTTGTTGGAAAACTATCCTTCCTCAGTATTAATGTGAGGTCAGTCTATATTGTTTGTATAGGCGTGACAATTGTATCATCATTGAGATTAAAAGCAACCTCTGGAGATTGCCCAGTCCAACTTCCTAAGAAGTTAGAAGCCAGAGAAGGTTTCTTAGGCCCTGTCTACTCAGGTTTTGAGTGTCTCCAAGAACAGAGCCTCCACAAGCTCTCTGGGCAACCTGTTTTAGTGTTTAACCATCCTCACAGTAAGAAAGCATTTTTATATGTAAACAGAATTTCCTGTGTTACAGTCTGTGCCCTTTCTTGACTCTTGTCCTGTCACTGGGCACCACTGAGAAGAAACTGTCTCCATCTTCTCCCCTGCTCCTCCATCAGGTACTTACACGCAGTGTAAGATCCCTCTGAACCTTCTCTTCTCCAGCCTGAGCAGTCCCAGCTCTCTCAGCCTCTCCTCATATGTCAGTGCTCCAGTTGTCTGTGGTGTCCTTTGCTGGCCTCTCCAGTATGTCCATGCTCACCATGAGTGCTATTTTACCACATGCCTCCTGGAGAATATTTAGGGGCATTTTAAGAGTTTTCAAACCTAAGCAATTCTGTTTATGGCTGTTTGCTATATAATAGCAGATCAATATTCATCTAGTGAAATGAGTTGCGGCTCACTTCATTCAATAGTGAGTGTCCAGTAATTTTAATGATCTTTGGAAATGTGCCTATGGACATTACATTTGCTTTCTCTCTTAATGGATTTTCAGATTAACTCCTTCAAAATCTTGTCACTTTTTTTTTTTTTTTTACAATCCTACTTTTTTGTTTTAGTCTATCAGAACTCAGAATTCCTAAGGCCAAAGAAATAAGTGTATGTGTTAATAACTGTATAGGTAAATAGAAGTATAATCATTAATCTGTCTAGAGATCTTCTATATGTCAGCTGAGTGAATGTTCATACTTTGATTTCTTCTGGTTGTTTTCCTAGAAGAGGAAAAGCATTGACAAAAATTTACTAAATTACAAATTTAACTTGTGTAAATCTTAATGATACCTTCCTACCATATGCACTTTAACTGAATTCTCCCTCCCCCTCAGCCCCGCTGCAATCGGTACATCATTTATAGGTGGCAACAGGACATTTCACTTATATATTCTATAGTGAAAGTATTCACAAAGTCTGTACTGAAGTTTTCTGCTACAGTCAAATTATGGAACTGAACTTCTTTAAATGCCTTTGGATGTCAAATGTGTCCGTCTGTGTCCCTGCCCCCATTTAAAAAAAAAAAAGAAAAAAAAGTGCTTGCAGTAGGGAAGTAATACAGAAAGTGACTCTTTGAGCTTTTTGACAGTGCTCAACTTGAGAAGTTCATTGATTATTCTACTGTTGAATACAATCTGAACTCTTTC